GACCGATTTTGCTAAAATTATTACTTGATTATCCTTTGGCATTCCCTTGCGATTATGTGTTTAAAAGCCCCACTCGATTATGTTTTTCACTGGGCGAATCCATCTTTTTAATTTTATTTGTAATAGTGGGACGTTTTGTGATACACTTCATTGACACTAAAACGCATCAGTATATGCTTTTTGATCCCGTATACAACCGTTTGGTTGCTTTTATAATGATAAATCACCTTTATGGAGTGTTTTGTCGTGACATAAATAAGACAAATACCGAATGATTTACTGAACAGTTTTATAAAGGGATAGAGTGCTGCATTACATTCATTTTTAAAACCAGACATTTTCTGATTTTCTCGTCATCCTTTAAAAGGTTTTTACAACTGCATAAAGCTGAGCTACTAATCAAGAATGTTTTACACTTTTAAATGCTGTATTTAAACTCAAAAGATTGCTTATTGCCGTCCCTAGCAACACACTTGTCACTGAACAATTGTGGTTACTTGTGTGCAACCCGTTCCAGTCACAATCAAGTTGCAGCAACTTATTTCGATGGAAGTGTGCTGCTTGGGGTTATAAAACCACAATAAATCAGAGAGAAAATCAAAAGGCTGTTAAATTGTTCCTTGGGCAGAAGGGTTGCCTACCTCGGGCAACTAGGGTTTCTAATAGTCGTGCTCTCGAGGCGTCATTACCCGGACAATGCCAAACTGCGTGATCGATGTCATCATAACCGGTTCTGCACCTACATATATTGCTGTCAACGAGGTTTATTCTGTAGAGATGTGCGTCTAGCGAGTAGTGGTTGGATATAAGTCTTGACATCACCCCGACTTACATCCAGACCTTTGAACCACGCTCGAAGAAAAATTTAGAGTCATGGAATGTAACCACCGCCCAAGAGAATTACTTGTCCAATCGTTTAGCCAACTTAGAAGAGAACTCTGACGTCGAACTGAGACTATCCGAGAAGATGAAGTAATGGTCTATGAGCATGTCGGATTAATGTTGAAGCATGGTTTGACAAATTGAAATTTAGTCGATTTTTCCTTCTTATGACATTATGAGCAATAGAGTGAAAAACTTTCGAGGAGTATCTATATAACAGGCATGGCATTATCTAAGATAATACCAATATCGACGAAAACTTTTAACAATGTGGTTTTTGTGCTGTGTTGGTCGATACCCTGACTGGATATAATTGAGAAGTATATTAAGCTCAATATATAGACAGATTTGGATTAACATGATACATCGTATGGATAACACCAATCTCACTGACGATATTGAAGTAGAATTCATTCTCAGGAATGTGTTCGTTATGACTTTCAGTACTAAATTCATTCGATACATTCGAACTGCCAAAGCTCATAGCAAAGCTAACATTGATTTCATCAGAATCGAAGTCGTTCATCGAAGAAGAATTTGTTTTTCCAACACCCATTGACTTCACCCTTTTCCATAATTCTTAGGCAGGTAGTTTGAGATCGAGATGAACTGAGAAGTAATTTTTCTTCACATCACGGACTAACATGTTGACTTTGTTGTGTTTCCGTTTGAATAAATTATGGTCATTACTGAGTTTCGAGTTTTTCCACACTTTAAACGCTAAGTCACGATCAACCGTAGCATTACTGATTATGCTATTCAATGAGGAATGGTTTTTCTCATATGGATTTAAAGTACGAGCAGGAACCAAATGATCGTGTAGATTTGTTATGGCAGAGTTAATAAAAATACAAAAGATCTTTAGAAATTCGACCAATCAAATTAATTACAGGCATCTAACAATCCATCCACATTCATGGCGTTATAATCACAAAAAGAAATAATGTTGTTGCACTGGTCCATATTAATATCAAACGAAACAAAAATAAGATCGTGATTTGAAAACACCAGGACATCTATGTGATTAAACTATAAGAGTTTGGACTCATCATTAAAGAGCATTAGATCTAACTTATCCATTCCTATGAAAAAATATTGGTTGACACCCTAAACCAGATAGGTTAAAAGATGAACAAACGGACAATAATCTGGACGTTCTGGTAGATTTGTAATGAAATCTCATTCATTCATTTCGTTAAGCATTCGACTCATTAGTGCGATCTTCTGATTTGCTCATGACATGGAATTTAATTCCTTTTTAACATAAACCAAACTACTCCTCCTAATCTTCCCACTCTACCGTATCTAATGGGATGGTAACCGTTCATTAATAAAATGTTACTGTCTATTTTTTCATTTATCCAGGATTCGGAAATACAAACAACATCGACTTTTGCGATTGAAAGAATTTGACGTAACTCATCGAGCTTGCGGAACTTGCGAGCACTAATACTTTGGCTGTTAATATAATACACTGAAAGCTTCCCTAGAAGCAATGCCTATTTTAGTACAACTCCATAATCAAGTCAACTTATATTGGGTTCCTGGTCATTGCGGGATTGAGGGAAATGAAAGAGCTGATGCACGGGCCAGAGCCCTTTTGTGACTTATCGGCTGCATCTCTTAGAATGGAGCTAAAAGCGTGGGAATCTTCAAAAGTGGAGGAAAACTGGAAGAACACTTCTATTGCTAGGCAGTCGAAGCGATTCATTAATCCAAACATTTCTGTGACCCACAAAATCCTGGAACTTTCTAAGAAAGATCTTAGTATATATGGAGGTCTTATAATAGGTCATTGCCCGAGCCGTTATCACTTGAAGCTGTTTGGAAAACTTCAAAATGATGTATGTCGCTTATGTGTCATAGAAAAGGAAGACTCGGAACATTTGCTATGCCACTGTCCGGCAATTTTCAATAAAAGTCGTCAGTTCTTGGACAAGGGGCTGATAGAACCCTTCGACATTTGGAAAACATCTCCAGTACGGCAGTGCACTTTATTCGAAGTATAATGCCGTGCTGGGTTAATGCTATTAGTCAAACTATGGCGACCACCCCTAATAATAGTGATATGGCATCTTGATATAGCCAAAGAAAAAAAATGGGGAATATATCACAATAGATCAGAAAAAAATGGTCGCAGTGATGAAAATACCCGACAAGGAAAAAAAAGTACAACTCCGGCTAGACACACATTCGTTGAACCGTGATTGTTAGAATTGTTAGCCATAGACACGAGGGAACGCGAAAGCAATAAGGAGGAGAAAATATTTGAGTACTAAACTAAAACATACATATTGCAACATATCAACAAGAGGGTTTTTTGAATTAACGCAAAAAAATAAAAGTTACGCAAATAATTAATGAGTGGTAAATCACCACCTGTTAGTGAACGAGAAGTCGGAGCACCGTAGACTGATGAACGTCATCGGACGTTCAAACGACCCAAACTGTCAGCACTGTGCAATAGGAAACGAGACTTTGCAACATAAGTTTTGCGAGTAGCCTCGAGTTGCTGCAGCTTGGACACACATCCAGCGAAAATTGACGACGACGTTCGGCGGCTGGCAGAGGCTGAGCTTCGAAGATCTTGTCGGCCAATGTTGGGTAACATGACAAGACCGATAAGAAATTATATTTTAAAAACGTCCTTTAAGTACATACATCAACTTTGTTACTGTGAATGTTAATAATATAATCGATGTAAGCGAGCTAGATTTCATTTTGAGTCTAGAAGATTGACATATTTTTTTAAATATCTTCAATATGTTTTTTATTGCAAGACCTAAATAAATAATATTTTCCAAAAAAAAAACATAGCTTCTCACGTTCCGTCCTGTATCCAACAGAAGCAGTAACAGCAACATCAGCAATCCACTATGACTTTTAGGTAGGGAGATATGGGATAGAAAAGAACAGAAAGGAGTTTAGATGACCCTTCCCAAGTAACAATTATGGTTTTATGAGGGTTCTGTAGACTTGTAGAATGCTAGAAAACCTCGATAAAACCTGCGATGTTACTTGGGTTTGAATGTTTTCAGGCCATTTTTGCAAATTTTATGCTATTTTTGGACTGATTTGGTGTTTTTGCGCAATTTTCTCGTTTTCACTTGTTTGAATTTTACTTTTGCTATTTTTGCATTTTGGTGAAAGATCTTAGTTTGGATGCTTCTATGCTTTTGTTTTTAGATTTCAGGTAATCATGTAGCTTCGAAGCTTATTGTTTCTACTTTAAAGCCATTTTAGAGTCTATCTGTACATCTGTATTAAATATTGAAGGGTCGCAAGTGTATGGAATTTCTAAAAGTGGGTCACAGTCAACAAAAGTTTGAGAACCGCTGCTCAGCCCCCTTTTTGAATATCTTTTCCAATGTTCTATGAACCCCATGCACTTTTAACATGCACCAAAGTATACCATAAACATCCATCTTGGATCTCGGAGCGCCGAGAACAGTTGCAAATTATCATTAGACTATTCATCAACTCCGAAAATATTGTGTAATTTGCATATCGCTAGCAATATTCTCCAAACCAAACATTCACAAACGAAACAACAGCCCAGAAATCCATCAACCTCAGCATCCCCTCCCTAGACCGACGGCTTGGAAGCAACCCCCACGCTTCATCAACGGTAAACACATGCCACTCTCACGCCTTGCCACTGATGCTGCTAACTAACACTCACTACCTGTTTGGAGCCGCCTGCCGAAGGTGACATATCTGAGTATCGCGCAAACTTATCGCACTGCCATTCCGTTTCCAAGCGAGATTGATCTCGCGGTAAATGTCACTCCTCTTCAAACGATAACTTTCGATTGATGCCTTTGAAAGGCAGCATCCATCCGATTACCGAGTGGGGTTGGAATTTGTCACCGGAATTATAATATTTTTCGTATTGATTTAAATAACAAATATAGCTGAGTTATCTCTCTCAATGTCATCGCCACTCGACGACGACTTCAACGAACGACGACGACGACGCACTTTGCTAATGTGTTTGATGATCACATACTACACCTAAGGCTGTCGGTGTTAGTACGATCGCACAGACAGAGGGTTGTGGATCAGGGTAGTGCGAAGCTCTAAATCCGACACTAATTTAAATATCTTATACCCGTCAGTTATTGCTGAAGCGCGCGTTGAACAAGTTCGAAAACGGTGGATTAGAGAAACTTAGTAGCAGTTTAATGCAAATCATCGTGTGCCGGTGCGATGCTGTAAAGTGCTTGACCTAAACCAACTACCAGATAGACCTAGTGCTGTTGGCGATTTCAACGGCCAAACAAAAACAAACCTGCTTTCCTGGTTGAAACACTGAGCGACAACGAGTGAAATCTGCAGACGCACAAGTTCGCGATCGTTCGAAAACAACCAAACCAGTCAGTGTGTATTGAACGTTTGTATACGCAGGGGAAGTGATAAGCCCCATCCGGGACCTGATCAGGAAAGTGGTGCTTTGGTTTTGGTGAAGAGACTGGCCTAATCTTGCGAGCCTGGTTAAGTTTCCGTGCAGTCTGTGTTTGCTACCGAACCGGTTCGGAACGGGTGATTGTATTTTCGGCAGTGGACCATACGATTTATGTAATAAAAGGCGTGGAAAAGTTTATGACCATAAACCTACTCGTAGAGGGATGCTTCAAAAGTGGAACATAGTTGTAAAGGAAACAACGTGTAGTGTATAAGTGAAAATGCGTGATAATTTGCTTCTTCTGGTCGGGGCGGCCTGTGTCCTTATCTGCCTGGAAGCGGTTCGGTCAGAGTTTAGCGAAGTGGACGACACTGATTACGACGAGGAAGCATTTTGGATCGGCCACGGACTCGGAAGCAGGAAGGATGGTAAGAGTTTGTAATTTGTGTGTAACGTACACACGGAACTTGTTGACTTTGATGGTATGATAATGTCGATCTCTTCAATCATACATAATCGGATTATGAGACATGAAGCTTTCTGTGTAGTATCACGTTTTTCACTAACCGGTGATTGTGCCTTCCTGTAAACACGAATATGTGCTTTTTAGAAACATTCGCTTCCTTTTTATTAAAAATAAAACAGATCGCATTTTGTACATGGAGCCATCGTCTGTTCTATTGAGGACAGTGCTTATAATTACAAGATCAACATCAGGACACGTTTCGGATGTCCTCGGGAAGTGACCAGTGACTGTGGAAAAACCCCACACTGCCTCATTATCCCGCTATCAAATCGGATAAACTTTATAATCTAATCTAATCTAATCTAACACCAACACAGCCAGTTCATGAAAGCATCCTGGAAAATAATAGATATACCTCCATCCTTTCTCTTGTCTATTTGGTAAATTTTGTACATCAGAGAAGCGCAAAATATATCAAAACGGCCAGGCCTACTGTGCAGCATTTAAGGGGCAAGATGATTCAGAAACATCGGGCCTGTTTAAATCGAAGATTAAAACACGATGCTTCAGAATCCAATAAATGGATGAAACGTGGACATCTCGTATCGTACGATCCGTTGTTATAAATGATTGGTCGTTGGGAGCATCTACTCTAAAAAAGTTAAATGATGCTCCATTTTCCTCGAGTGGTTGGGACATGAGCACTAACTCTTGTCTTAGCCCTATATGGCTTATGGTTATAGCGCCATTACTCGCTTTCTGAAAAGAAAAAATGGAATAAAAGGCAGTAGGAAAAAGGAAAAGTAGGAAGGAACCCTAATTCTATCTTTCCTTGTGTAAAAACTGAAAAAAACGGGTCTCTAATCAATCTACTTGAAAAGTTCGCTAAAACTCACAATCACTCGTGAACTTTTCCTTTTGTGTGCTTCATAAAACCTTGCAAAATTTTCCAACGCTGAACACGAACAGGTGAGAGTTAGATTTCAGTAGAGACCAATGGAACGAAAATATATTATAAATTTAAAAACATATAATTGAAAATAAAGGGAAGGTCTCAGCAAGTTTCATTAATTTTGTACTCTTACTGTCCTGTTGCACTACTGGCACTTCCAAGACTTTTCCGGGTTATTGCGAAACTAGTTCAAACAATATTCAGGCAAATCATGATCACAAAAATGGAACTTTAAGGTACAAAACACCAAACGTCTAAAGCCAGAAAAAAAACACTAGGTCGACTCTCTTGCCGAATGAACCAATTGGCAAATCTATGTTGGAACTTGGCCATACCCACTCGTTCTCAACCTTTGACAATAGTGCACTCGACATTTGATTTCTCATCATAATGCAGCACGAAAGCGGCTCTTCGAAATGATATCTAAGACAAAGTTGTAGATACCGAGACGGGTGAATGTATAAACAGGAACGATCTCACCAAATGAACGGTAGTTTGCACGTGAAGCAAATACTTGGAAGACTGTTTCATCTCCTAGTTCTAACTCAACACTTCAAACCATTTCATCGGATCTTCAAAGAAACTCTTGCACAATCCGCCTCCAATCCAATCAGAATCATCGGGCCAGCTTTCCAATCGCCTAATAACAGTTCTGACGAAAAGGATGCCGATAAAAACACTTTGAAATGCATTTTACCCGATTTGTTTCGGGTTAAAACGCAATGAAAAAATCAATGACAGAAAAAATTAAGCCTAAAATTTTCGAACCCATGATTTTCTACCCAGTAAGCAAAATTGGTCGCCACAAGGCCAACGAGCACCTTAAATCACAGAAAAATTACGATCAAGTTCCCGTTCAACTTGCTGTCACTAGATTTCGATCCCAGCGGTGATCTTACCGACGTCGACAACAACTGCTTTTGAAAAGGGTTTTATATGTATTTCCGATAAACACATTAGCGTTAGCGCAAGCGTTACTACGGTATACTCGGATACTAGTTACACTCACGCTTTTTTTTTAATTCTTAGTCAGACTGCGTACAGGAATAATGCTAGAAAGTTAACATTATTTCCAATCCAAACAAGAATACCAAAAGCATTGCTGTCACTATTCCCGGCCACGCCTAAATTTACCGTTACTAGGGATAGAAAAGGAAATGTTGATGTAATACTTACTCAACGAGAGGTCGCCGAATTAGTTAGTCCGAATACAGTTCAGAAAAGTTTCTTGGATCTTGATTGAGGAAAACCGCTACTCGTTGCCAGCCCTCGGAAAGAGATGTATCAAATGCAACAGTCCAGCATCTCTCGGTATCACTATAAGCCTGCTGGATTCACACCATCGTGATCATCTTGGGATCTTCGTTGCCCATCAGCTAAGACAGTTCCCAACAAACACCGCTCTTGGATCTTCTTTTTTTTTATTTTTATTTTTCACTTATCATCCACCATATTTCGATCCCGTCCATGAAATGTTGAACAATTGAACAATCGGAAGTTTGTTTAAACATGATTCATACTACAATAGATCAAATTACTGGTCGCAGTAGTGTTATGTCCCGAACAAAGGAAAAAAAAACATGATTCAAATGGTTAAATTAACCAAATGAAAATCAGCAGCAAAATTAAAAAAAAAAAAACGTGTCAACTTTCCAGTGCGACCTACCAGTAGTGTACTTCGATCTGGTCAGCATACGATGCCCTGTTTGTATTTAGTATGTAATAATATGTGTTATTTGGCTATTCAAAATGTTTGAAGCCCTGCGTCACATTAAATGCCTAGTAGGACACACCTGAATAACTGCTGCCCACCCACGATTTACTGTCTAAAACCTTACCTGAACTAGTGCTATTGTTTTTTTCCCACATTTCCAGAATCTGTATAAAGGAAAAGGAATTTCCGGAATCGGGATCGTTTGAATTTAGTTGAAGAAAAGGTTATGTCCTACTGTAGGTGGAATAATCCATAAGTTTTCCCTTCTTTTGGTGGACCACTTATGAATTGATATTGTTTTATTGAAAAATTGGGTGATTTTCTAGAAAACTCCATCGGAAAACATCTTTTACAACTATCTGCCTGAAAATATAGGTCATACACTATTTGAATAGCAAATACCATTAAGACTGGAACGCGCAAAAAATGGTCGACAAAAAATCGTTTCTTTCAGTCAATATTCATATCACAAAAATCTTCTTATTTTTCTTTCGGTAGTTCAAATACATATATTTGAAGGAAAAAAAGTTCGTTAATTCTTTTGGTTTGCCAAATCCATTAAATTTTGCACAATGGTCGACCTTATTCGCCACCGAACGCCAGTTAGATTTAAACTGCTGCTAGTTTTCCATGGATTTAAGTATTCGCTTTTTTTTAGATTCCGATTTCCCAAAGCCCAATACCGTTCGATAGGGTGGATTTCCAGGCTGTTGGAAGGGTTGTGGTCTTTGGGAACCACAACCACGTTGTTCGCATCGTACCACTCGATTGCCTTTTTCCCATAGTGGCAGCTCGCCAAGGGCAGCCAGAACAGTACAGGTCTATTATGTTGCTTTAGGAATGGTAGCAGCCGCTTTTCCAGGCACTCCTGGACGTAGATCTCTTGATTGATGGTTCCCGTAGTAATGAAAATGCCGCTTTTTAGACCACACGTGCATATGGCCTGCCAGACGAGATTTTTTGTCGAGAACTTCGATAGTTTGATGGTTTTGAAAATTTCAGCCACCATCCCTTTTCCTGATGCGGTATAAGACACCTGTCCCGGAAGCTGCTTGAAATCTGCCATCACAGAAGTTTCGTCGTTCATGACGACACAGTTGAACTTTGTGAGCAGATTCGTATACAGCTTTCGGGACCGCTGCTTTGCCAACATGTTTTGTTTGTAATCTTGATTCGCCGCCTTCACCTTCTTAAACGTCGATAACCCAGCTCGTTTCTTGGCCCACTGCACAGTAGTATGGGAGACAAGCTTGCCAGCGACGTCCCGGATGGAGAGGTTAGGCTTCCGCTTATATTTCATCACCACCTTCTTCGTCGTCGCTGCCACGTCCGGATTAATATTGCCAGCAGATTCTAGACTTCCTGACGGTCGACAGACGCTCCCCAATCACTTTTAAAACGTTTGTCACGGTTGATTTGACCACATCCAGCAATTTTGCCAACTTGGCGTGTGAGAACGTCGGATTCTCTTGCTGCGCTGGCAAAATTTTGACGCGCCCCTCTTGCTTGGACATCATTTTGAAAACTGGAGAGCAAACGGTGAAAACTCATCATAGCAACCATTGTATATTCACTCAACTTCCAATGCAGCATTTCAGGTTTTTATGCATTTTTAACAGAAATACACCAATTTGAAGTTGACCAATTTTTGCGCGTTCCAGACTTTAGTTGGAAGCATAAAGTGGTAATTTTATACGATAGATGAGGAGATGAAAGTATAGAGTTGATAGTTCCGTTAGAGTCAGTGCTGCAAAATATCAATATCAATACCTACAAAATGATGAATTTCACTAGCCACCTGATGTCAGTATTAGTTCACACAGTTGAAATATCAATATCCTTCGCCTCAATGTCAGTTCACAATTGATATTGACATCGTAAAGGGACCACTGATATTCAAAGTTCTGCCTCAAATGTTTCTGACCTTTCCTAAAGATTTTTAAACTTATCAAAAGTTTTCTCGGGGCTCTTGTAAAGGTCCTAAAATGGTTTTGAATATACTGGTAATTGTCTGTAATAGAAATAATAAAAGCTCTGACCTAAGTGAACAGCTTTACCGAAAATAAACATACTATTTGATCTGAAAAGCCAGGATCAGCAGATTATAGAAAAAATCGTTCATTCCTGGTTTATATACGTGAGAGTTTCAGTTGCTCCTGAATCGAAATGCTGATTGCTGCTCAAACCTGTTTACATTGTGCTGACCACTTTTTAAGTAGTACACTAGCACCAGCACACGAGCACATGTGTAAACTGGGAATTCATGTACCATTTCTCTATTCGAATGAAGGAATCC